ATACTGGAGTGGGTAGTAGTCTGTAGTGGGTCCCTCAATTTGTGTGTCTGTTGTTTTGTCCACAATTAGAGTGGAGTTTCGGTTTTTTTAAAGGATGACCACAGAGGACATTGCCATTCTCATGACGTCCTATGAAGGGTTTTGTTTTTTTTTAAGTGTTCAATGACACCAGTTACAGATGGTCAGGCCGACTTTGTTCAGAATCATTGGACAGGTGTGAGGACCATTGCAAAAAAGTGGGAATTTATAGCCAAGGAGCAGAATGGTGGGGGAGGGATCTGTGGATGGAAAATTACTAAGATGGAACGTCAGAGAGATTCTGGCCAAACCAACCTAGCAAGATCCTTGATGAAGACGGGTTGGGGTGATCTGATATCCCCTGCGGGGTGGTGGAGAATGAAAAACAGATCAGACACTAGAGTTGGGCAGGGATGAGTTAACTAGAGTTCAACTGACTTATTAGCTGGGTTCTTGCTAAAGTGAGACTTTGCAAGGAAGGGCACAGATGCACCTGGGAGAAGGTTCAGGACCCTGACTGAAGTTTGACCAGCAGAGACTCTTTGTCCGCGCACGCTCTGGACACGACCGTTGACCCTGATCACCTGGCTGAGGTCGTGTTGGCCAGACGCCTTTCTCGTAAGATTGTCACCCCCACCACCATCTCCACAGTCTACTCTTTGGAGTGGGGTCTGTGCACAACCCACATCCCCTTCTCCTCCTGCCTTCAATTTTCCCAGCATCAGGGTCTTTTCCAAAGGAGTCAGTTCTTCGCATCACATGGCCAAAGTATTGGCACTTCAGCTTGAGCATCAGTCCTTCCAATGAATGTTCAGGACTGATTTCCTTTAGGATGGACTGGTTGGATCTCCTTGCTGTGCTCTATTTAGTTATCTATCATCTATCCATCAACCTATCTATCATCTACCTATCTACTTACCTACCTTTCATCTGTCCATCTACCTGTATCTATCTATCATCCCTCCAACTACCTATCTATCTATGATCTACCTATATCTATCATCTATCCATATACCTGCTACCTACCTATCTCTCTACTTGTGTGTGTGTGTTTTAGTCACCCAGTTGTGTTTGATTCTTTGCGACCCCATGGACGACTATAGCCGTTTTCATACTGTTCATGCCGAGGAATTGATGCTTTTGAACTGTGGTGTTGGAAAAGACTCTTGAGAGTCCTTTGGACTGCAAGGAGATCCAACCAGTCCATCCTAAAGGAAATCAGTCCTGAATATTCATTGGAAGGACTGATGTTGAAGCTGAAACTCCAATACTTTGGCCACCAGATGCGAAGAGCTGACTCACTGAAAAAGACCCTGATGCTGGGAAAGATTGAAGGTGGGAGGAGAAGGGGATGACAGAGGATGAGATGGTTGGATGGCATCACCAACTCAATGGACATGAGTTTGAGTAAACTCCAGGAATTGGTGATGGACAGGGAGGCCTGGTGTGCTGCAGTCCATGGGGTTGCAAAGAGTTGGACACTACTGAGTGACTGAACTGAACTGAACTGGACTGTAGCCCACCAGGCTCCTCTTCCCAAGGGATTCCCTAGGCAAGAATACCGGAGTGGGTTGCCATTCCCTTCCCCAATCTCTCCACTTATCTGTCATCTATCTGTATCTATCATCTATCTATCTACCTCCCTATCATCTATCATCGATCCATCTATCATCTACCATCTACCTACCTATCTACCTATCATCTGCCTGCATATCTATTCATTAACTATCTGTCATTTTTCCATCTACCTACCCATCTATGATCCATTCATCAATCTATGTACCTCCCTGTCAGTCTGTCTGACTTCCCTGTCTACCCGTCTATCATCTATCTATCGCCTACCTAGCTATCATCTGTCCCTCTGTCTATCTACTTACCTATCATCTATCTATCTACCTATCATTTGTCATCTTTGTTACTCAAGGAGAAAGCTCCTTTCGGTTAATTGTCATCTTAAAGAAGGTTAACATCTATTCATTCTCAGCAGCATCGGGTCCATCCTCTGATTCAGCTGAGTGAGATTGTCTGTGCAATGAGAGGCATTGTTCTGTCATCCTGAGGAAGCCAGTGGGACCTGGGAGTGATTTCATGGGTCATGACAGCTTGAATCCGAGTTGTCAGAACGTGTGGGTTTTTCTGATCTCTACATAACACACAGGACAGATCTATGTGATGGACTATTTGCTTTGTGGATCCTAGGTGTTCCTTCTCCCTGCCTGCTCAGAGTGTTTCGGATATATCAGTGCAAAGGACATCCTGCTGAATGTGTGGCCGACATGCTCCTTCACATTTTTTTTTTTAAATGGCTCTAAACAAATTTCAATTTGTTTCACTATGACCCTGGCTAAATTGAACTGACAGGTGCTGCAAAGCGCTTAGCTGGACGACAAACGCAACTGAGATCAAAAGACCCCCTCCCCCTGCCCCCGCCCTGACAGTTTGCCCCAGTTAAGCTGCGTTGGGGATCTGACAGCCAGCATCCTTCCTGGGTGGCAGGGCAGGGTTCTGTAAACAGCAGAGAGTCACAAAGTGTCAGCCTCTGGTTGGAACCTGTGAGTCACGGATCGGAAAGGTCCCGCCCATCTGTTTCTGGCTTGTTAACCCGGTGACAGGACCGGGTTAGTCAGCGCTCATCTCAGAAAGTCAGCGATGTTTCACTTTTTCATGTGTGCAATGCGGTCAGGAGGCGGGCTGAGGTCTGCCCCGGGGAGCAGACCACACTGCTTCTGCTCGTGTCCACACCCTGGTTTCTGCCACTTGTTCGTTTTTCACGCGGAGGCTGATGAGAAGGAGGTACTATCGCTTGGCCAGCAGCCTGCAGCGTCTGGTGCCGTTTGAGGAAGGAAACTGAGTCCCACCTGCATGTCTGTCTCAATCGGGGTGTGGCAGGGAGGACGGGGCTCCCACGTGGGAGGACTTGGTTACTGAGGGACGGGCACGGATTGGCAGGGCTGGGGCGAAGCCCAGGTGATGCCAGTGCGGCGGGAGAGGGGGCTTCTGCCTGCCACTGCGCTGGGGGCCTGTGTTCGCTCGGCCTCCTGGCGTGTGTGTGTGTGTGTGTGTGTGTGTGTGAGTCTCAGGAAGCACCTTGAGCCTCGCGGCTGCCGTCTTCCAGGGAGGTCTTACCTCTCCTCTGCCATATCCCCGATCTCACACAGTGCCCTTCCTGGTACCAGCCAGGGAAGGAGCCTCAGGTTTCCCGGCCTCTTCGAGGTGCAGAAGCCTCTCTGTGGAGAGCCGGAGGGAAAGCAGGAAGTCCAGTTCCATGTCCACCTGGCCCCACACCTGCCCTGACATTGGGGGGGTGTGGTTTCCTGGGGACCTGCACCGCGTGGGGATGAAGGGGGTTTCAGAGCTGAATCTTCAGGGTGGAGGGATGGAGACTGGGGACTTGCCTGGTGGTCCCGTGGTGAGGAATCCGCCTGCCAGTGCAGGGGACGTGGTTCCATCTCTGCTTGGGGAAGGTCTCACATGCCGAGGGCAACTCAGCCTGTTCCCTGCCACTCCTGAGCCCTGGAGCCTGGAAGCCTCTGCAGTGAGAAGCCCAACACCGCAACTAGAGAGCAGTCCCCGCTCACGGCAGCTAGATAAAGCCCTCATGCGTGAACAAAGACCCAAAGCAGCCCCCCCCCCCAAAAAAAAAGGATGGAGACTGGTACCCAGGCCCTCGTGCAGACTGCCCGCACTCCCAAGCTGTGTTAGCCATCATGATTAGGGCCAGGATACAGATGGCAAGCATGAGGGGCTGGGGATGCAGGGGTCAGGGCGAAGGGGAGCAGCAAGGGAAGCCGTCCTCCACCTTGGTCCTGAAGTGGTGACATCTGAGCCTCTGGGACAGTGGTTCTCAACAGGGCTGATTTTGCCCCTGGCGATACTTGGTGAGGTCTAGAGACACTTGCGGTTGTCATGCCTGGGAGGGAGGGAGGTGTGGTAGCTACAGTGTCTAGTGGGTGGAGTTCAAGGAGGCGGCCCACCATCCTACAGGGCATGGGACAGCCCCACACAGAGTTACCTGGCCCAGGTGTCAGCGATGCCACGGTGGGACCTTGGTCTAAGGAACTCAACCGTCTGGGGCGTGGGGAGGGTGGTGTGTCATGTCACTCGAGGACCTAAGAAGCGTGGCCAGCGGGCTTCGGACAGCACAGGCATTTGACCCCAGGGACTCTGTGTGTGTCGCTGAGGATTTTTCTCTGGGTGAGCCAGGAGCATCCTGGGAACACAGCTTCTCACCTGATGTTCTCCTTATTCACTGCTGCCAAAGAGTGTGTGGGCTTTTTGTGAATCCTCTGGGAATGAGCAGAAAATCCGGCCTGTTTTTTGGAAGTCCGGGGCAATGAAGAGGAGAAATTTATATTCTGATATGAATATTCTTACCTGCTTGGGTTAATGGATGAGGGTCTGGGTAGCAATACTCCCTATGTTCCCTGTGGGTGTGTGTGTGTGTGAGAGAGAGAGAGGACCTTCTGAGCCATGCCAGGGTGGCCATGCGCACTAACACATCCTGTTGCTATGGTGATGAGATGCAGACTGTCTATTCCCTGAGGCTCTGGAATTCTGGGAAATGGCTCCAAGCTTCCTGTTCTGTTTTGTGTCGCCCTCACCTGCTGGGAACGGACAGCATCTGCGTGGGACCAGCTCATCTGTGCTCTGGTCACCGCCGCAGCCTCCTTGCCCCCCATGTGCCCTCCTTAACAGGTTGCCTGGACAGCTGGGCCTCAAGCGGGTCTGCAGAAGCGAACACGAGTGAACCAGAGGGAGCAGCGCTGTGGCCCAGGCAGGGTCCTCTGTTGCCTCATATCCTGGACTCCTGAGAATTTTTTCCCGTGGCCTGGGAGGCAAACACATGCACTGCCCACGCTCCCAAAGACGGTCCAGTCCTGCAGGCAGACGCTGCCCCATTTCCCTCTGTGTGTAGGAAGCCCCTCTGGGATGCCCTCTCTTTGTGGAGGGTGGTCCATCCACATGTGCGTTTCTCTTTGCAGGGCACATCACCATCACCAACTACTTGTTGAACTATTTCCCCGGTCTTGACCTTGAAAGGAGGAACGCGTTCGGGTTCACGGCCCTCATGAAAGCCGCCATGCAGGGCCGGACGGAGTGCATCCGAGCCCTGATGCTAGCAGGTACGTCCCCACCTGCCTTATGTGGTCGCAGGGCCCCAGGCAGTGCTGAATGTGCTCCTTGAAGAATACATGTTGGGACTTCCCTGCTGCTCCACTGGCTAAGTCTCCACACTCCCAAAGCAGGGGGCGAGGGTTCCATCCCGGGTCAGGGAGCTAGATCCCACATGCCGCATCTAAGTGTTCACATACCACAACTAAAAAGATCCCACCCGTTGCAGTGAAAATTGAAGATCTTTTCCCCCTCATTCTAAAAGAGACTCAGTGCCCATCAATAGAGCACAGCCTCCTTGAGTTGCTCTGACAATTAAGTGAGAAAACGTTCGTGAAGCCCACACCCAGGGTCGGGCGCAGAGAGAGCGTCTTAACATCTCAGTCAGTGGGAGATGCTGTTGTCGCTGTTACTTGTTTTCATCATCTTATTTTGGTTTTGTTCTTGGCACTGGCTTCAGCCAATCTCGCTGGATCCTACGAGCTCCCAGAGAGAAGGCGTGCCCTCCCATCTCAGCGCCTTGCGTGTGCATGTGCGAAGTCGCTCAGTCGTGTCCGACTTTTTGCGACCCCATGGACTGTAGCCCACCAGGCTCCTCTGTCCACGGGATTCTCCAGGCAAGAGTACTGGAGTGGGTTGTCATTTCCTCCTCCACAGGATCTTCCCAACCTAGGGATCGAACCCATGTCTCTTATATCTCCTGCACTGGCAAGCAGATTCTTTACCACTAGTGATACCTGGAAGACCCTCGCCTTGTGATTAGATGGGAGTTAGAGGATTCCCAACCTACTTTGGATTTTTATTTTTTCTCCTGCTTTACTTAACTGGAGTGTTTTAGGAGATGCTGTAAGAAAAATAAATTCTGTAATCCAAGACAGGCTTCCAAGATGAAAGACTTTTTTGCAATTGAAAACGATCTTAATTGAAATTAATTTCATTGATTGTGCTTTTAACTCAGTGACAGTTTCTTTCTTTCTTTTTTTTTTTTTTTTAAAGAGCGATGGGCTTCCCTAGTGATTCAGCAGGAAAGAATCTGCCTGCCAGTGCAGGAGACTTGAATTTAATTGTTGGGTTGGAAGATCCCCTGGAGGAGGAAGTGACAACCCACTCCAGTATTCTTGCCTAGAAAATCCCAGGGACAGAGGGACTCTGTCCATAGGGTCAGAAAGAGTCAGACACAACTTAGCAATTAAACAACAGCACTCAGTTTCCATGAGGTTTATCAGGAACGTTGGGGAGGGGTGGTTCCTCCTAATTAAATGGTGATCGTGACGCCTTTGTGTTTGCGGTGGGCACTTTGTCTGCTTTTACTACTTCTGGATCTAGTTATAATTGAGTGTAGCCGTTTACTTTTACCACCAAAAACTTACCCTGTCGACCCAGGCATTTTCCCCAGTGAATTAATTTGAATTACAAACCCTCTTTCTTTTACATCAGTTGCCTCCTAATCACTCTAGACCATGCATGGGATTTCCTGTCATTCTTTTTTCCTGGGTCTGGTGTAGGTTTCAGGCAGTTACAGGATCTCAGAACCATTTTTCAGATCTCAGGAGAGATGGGCCTGCTTAAGACAGTATATTCAATGCTAATATGTTTTCCCCCTTTTCTTCTGTTATTTGGTGAATAAATTTGGCATTTGGTTTCATATACTTTCCCTTTCCTGTTCCCACCCGCGTAATCACAACCCCATGAGACTAGAATAATCCCTTACGAGTACAAACCTCTAGGGCCCACATCCCTGAACTGAACATGGTCAGAGCAGAAAGACCCACAAAACCAACTGGACCCTGGTGTCCAATTCCAGCTCCTCCATTCAGCCTCTCCCAAGGCCAATCACCTCCTGCTCCAGGCCTGTCTCTTCTGCAATATTCAGCGGACGTCAGTAGTTGCTGCAGAAGGTCCTGATGGGAACTGAATGAGTTCACACATGACACGGACGGTTGCCTGGAATGGAGGAAGCCGTCAGTAATGGCTGAAAAAGTGAAAAATGTGAAATTGCTAGTTGCTCAGTCGTGTCCTACTCTTGCGACCTCATGCACTGCATCCCAGGCTCCTCTGTCCGTGGGATTCTCCAGGCAAGAATACTGGAGTGGGTTGCCATTCCCTTCTCCAGGGATCTTCCTGACTCAGGGATCGGACCCAGGTCTCCTGCATTGCAGGTGGATTCTTTACCATCTGAGCCACAAGGGAAGATTTGGTTATCATTACTGTTATTGCTGATTTTACTATTTTTAAAAAATTTTAATCACATATTTATCTTTGGCTGCGATGGGTCTTTGTCGCTGTGCACGGGCTTTCTTTGTGCCGAGTGGGGGCTACTTTTCCTTGCAGTTCGAGGCCTTCTCATCGAGGTGGCGTCTCTCCTTGTGGAGCGCGGGCTCCAGGGCACGCAGGCTTCACTAGCTGCAGCTCTCGGGCTCTAGAGCACAGGCCCAGAGGTTGTGCTGCTCGGATTTAGGTGCTCTGGCATGTGGGATCTTCCCTGACCAGGGATCAAGCCCTTGGCAGGCGGCTTCTCCTCACTGTAACACCAGGGAAGTCGGTTATTAGTGGCGGGGTGTGTTTAATATGATTTGTTAAATGAAAAACCATGGTATACTTTTCCCTTTGAAAATATCCTTATGATGAGATATTTAACTTTCTTATGGAGGGTAATGAGCGTGCAACTCGGGTTCCTTAACCCTGGCCCTGCCGACACTGGGCCAGGTGATTCCTCAGGGCTGCGCTGTCCTGTGAGTTGCAGGCTGTTTAGCAGCACCCCTGGCCTCTGCTGTGTAGGTGACTGAAGCCCCTCTCGGTTTTGACAACCAAAAATATCTCCGGAAGTTGCCAAACGTCCCCTATTGCGAAAGTCGACTGTTGTTGAAAGCCACTGATGTGATGTAAATGGGAAACAACGGGGAAAGTGAAGGGAGAATCTGACACCTTTTTCAGGAAGCTCTTGACTGCCCTCTAAGGCTATTGTTGTTTAACTTTAGAATATTTTCATCTTCTGCTGTTGCCACTAAGTTAGCGTCTACTTTTCCCCAGGCAAGTAGGTTACGTTTTTCTTTTACAGTAGATGTGTGTGTGTGTTTGTTTTAGAAGAGAAAACAATACTTGATTGAATGTCTTTTCTGAATTTGATACATAGCAATAAGGATACTTGTTGAGACAATGTAAACAATTGGCATGAATATTTTAAAGTCTTCTTATTTCCATTTGAATTTATTGAGAAAAACTAAAGCCTGTAAAGATCCTAAGATCTGAGTATTGCTTTTGAGTTGATGTTTATGTACAGCTAAGAGCAAAGTAGAGAATCAGGTCATCCTGTGATCATTTTAAAAGCAAAAGGCATTTTGCAGTACTATGTAATAATGGTTAGGATAAAATTGTGGATCTCATTCTTATTTTTTCAGATGCAGTATTCTTCTGAACCTGAGTGTCTTTCTGACTCTGGGTTGAATTTCATTATATTTAATAAGAATTATTTCCTTTTAGAAATGATGAATCATCGAATTGAATGCCACCTCTAAACTGTTTAGATTTTCCGATAGTTCATAACCTGAGTGCCTATAAGCTCTTATCTTACCTTGTCAGGCAGAACAAGGTAATGTCAGAATTACCAAAACTTAGGCTTTTAATAAAAATATAACCAGGTTCTAAAAAGCTGATCTCTTGGCTCTGTCATTTTTGGCTTTCTAAGGACAACTGTCAGCTCTGCTGATATCACAGCGGGGTTGGGGCTGGATGGTGCTGACTGCAGAATCTTGTTAATTCAGTGGAATATTAATGCTCCAAAGTGACGGATCTATTTAGTAAGTGGCTCTGAGAACCGTACGGAGGATGTGATTATCTCTGAAGAGAAGCAGAACCCGGCAGAGGTTGGCAGGTTCCAGACTTGCTTAAGTGAGCTGGCTTTCATATCTGACGTGTGTCACTGCTGCAGCACTTGGGGAGCAAACACAAGCAAACAGAAGCCTCGAGCTTCCCTGTGATCGTGGGGAACAAAACAGACAGAAAGGAAGGCAGAGGAGGCTCGTGTAATGAGCAGAGAGCAGAGGCATTACTGCTAATGATCATATCCTCATCCTTGTTGTAGGCAAGCCCTGACCGTGTGTTTCCGGAAAGCCGAAGGATACGATGTTCCCAGAGAGGTTTCTTTCTGCTTGTAGAGGAAAACATGAATTTCCCATAATTAAGTTGGAATAGTTTCAAGTTATTAAGCAGAAGAAGAGCTAAAAATCAGGGATTTTATATCACCAAGGGCATGGTCTCAGCATGGGCACCCACGAAAGCCAGTCATGAGACAAAGACACGGAGATACTTGTTCTCGAAAGTGAGACCAGGGGCAAGTGCTTGTTTGAGAAAGTCACCCCAGGAAGCCAGGCAGGGATAAGGAAGCCAGACTGGGAAGACTGGAAGAGGAAGCCATGTGAGTTACCGGGTGGGCACCTGGGAATCAGCGCTGCCGAGACCTCTCAGACTGAAGAGCCTGGGGGTGGGGTGGGACCCCTGCCTTTAAGGGCTCTTCCCGATGACCCTGCCTCCTGATTTATCATATGGATTATACCCCAAGATATCATATTGATTAATATATTGACTATATCATATTCATATTGAATAGCATATCATATTGAATAGCACAGAATATCATCTCATATTGAATATATCATATTGACTATACCCCAAGATGATACATTGATTATATATTGAATATATGATATTCATATTGAATAGCATGCCATATTGAACATCACATAGAATATCATATCATATTGCTATATCGTATTGATTACACCCCAAGTGCCCGAGATACAGGCCGGAGGTTGCCCAGGAGGAGGCCTTATAAGGGCTGGTCCACAGTGAACTTGTGTGACCGTCACCGCCAGAAAACCGCAATTCCCTCAGTTCTTGTCCTCTTGACGAAAAAGAATTCAATCGAGAGACATGAAGCAGTTTTAAGGAGCAAGAGTTTTACTGAGCAAAGCAAAGGTATGCGCCTGAGAGAGAGAAGCGAAACCAGACGCCG